AAATAACTGTTGCAAATGGACTTGGTTTCCTGAAAGAGCACGAAAGCTTCGGGGAAATTCGGTCAAAAGAAACCTCTCCAATGTGGGCACTAATCTTTTGTCAATTCTTAGTGTTTGGGTAATTTCAGGGTGAAATGGTGGATCGGATCGAGTATAATGTGGAACATGCGAAGGAGTTTGTTGATCGGGCGGTGGCGGACACCAAAAAAGCCGTTCAGTATCAAAGCAAAGCACGACGGGTGAGTTCAGCGTTATTTTTCTCCTTGTTATTAGTCCCGATCTATTGTCCGAGGTGTTCAGCATTTTTGTCATGTGGTAGAAGTGGTGGCTGTGAATTGTGATCGTAGCCGTGGTCGTCGTCGTTTTGCATGTGGCTCTCATCTGGTTCAGTCATTCGTTTAGTCGACTCGCAGAAAGAATCGAATACACGGCTCTATTACATTTGCACCGCCGAGCCTGTTCGTCACGTTGTTATCGCGAAGGGACGTCGTTCCGTTTCGAGTTTCGTTTGGTTCGCCTTGACTAGAGCTGATTTGAGCCAAGAACGAAGAGGATATGACGACACACCTAAGCTCACATCTAATCGTCTTATCCACGATTACAGCCATTTGACGACCGACGGCCGGACGGACATGGGATCGATCACGTCATCGTCATCGTCCACCTTGTAGTCGTCGTGCGGTCTGCGTCGTTCAGTCTCTCACTCGACACGACTCTGCGTCTTGATCCCTTCGCGTTACACGCTCGAGCAAAGACAGCCAAAGCATCCGGATGTGGACATCGAGACGACGAGCGCGAATCGTTGCCGCTCGGGAGAGCGCTCTCCGGAACCTCGATGTCCGGATGTGCACATCTCCCAGATAGGTCGGCTGCTGAGGAACTTGGGAAAGAACCACCTGGACAATAACTTTAGCGCTTTGGGCCGCGTCTGCAGAGCATATGGGAAACGCTAGGTTTTTGGGAGCGTAGTTAACGCTGTTTGTGTGTAAGATGTTCTTTGTCAAGGTGAACTACAGCCAAGGATTCTTCGACAGTCTGTTTTCCCGTATGGGAGGAAGAATGGGGACTGGGTAATCGTGCGTTGCGGGCAGGGGGTCGGGGGCAGGGTCAACCCTACGTTGTTACGAGTAACAACGGGGGGTCGTACCTGGTTGAGTTTGTAGGAGGGGGGTCGTACCCACTTTAGTCGCTCGAAATCACGTGTGAGTTG